GGGACCGATACAGACATCTGTCATCATGCTTATGCTAATCAGAGTAGGGCACTTTGTAACCTGAGGTTTGGGGCTGTAAAATACTCATGCATCATTAGAAAAAATGAGGAGGAGCACTGTATGCTGTCAGTCATTTGTCATTTTGGCACCGGTTAGTTTAAGAGAAATTCCGGTTGTTTTACATCACTGTAATATTTCTAAGATGTGAGGATGGAAATCCTGAACTCCTCTTGGACTTTAGTGGTGTAAGAGTTTTTTTTTACTGGTTTTAAAGTCAAACAACATTCTGTACTTTTGTGAAGTAAAAACATATACCATGCACAGTTCATTGCAGAATTGTTTTACAAAATAAACTATTTGGGGGGGGGGAAACACTAAAGGAAAAGTATTTTAAAGTGTGCACGTTTTGATTTAATTTCAGCATTTAAGTTGTAAAAAATGGTGGTAAGTGAGACACTTTGTCAACGGAACAAGACAATTTACCTTTAGAACAAGCAAATATTATTGCATTGTCTGATTTCAAGTGCATATTATCTAATTATCTTATTTGAAGAGCTAAAAAAAACTCCTTTTATTGGAAGTTCATCTTATTTATCTGCTCAAATTAAGGCTAAATGCACTTAATTTAAGACATTTTTACTAATTACTTAATCGTTTTTGCATTGCAGTCTGCTGCAGTTCACTCGGCCCAAAAAACATAATGAATCCTAAGAACATAAAAGAAGGTTTATCTTGTCAGGTGGGATCTTCTTGTAGTTTGCAGTTTCAAATCCTTAAGCTAAAGCCATAGTTTATAGACAGAGTATAAATGATTAACATCATCTCATTGTCCACCCAGCCTGGGATGTTTGAGGGCTTGCATGAGGAGGGTTGAATGAGGAGGTTTTAGGGTGTAGACGGTGGCTGGACATCCTGTCCTCATGCTTAGCTCCTTGGTTTTTGCCAAGCTTTCTGTGGTGCCACAGCAGAGCGAACTTGTTTGGTCAGCCGCCTGATTTATGGGTCTTGGTTTTTTTAATATGCTGCTTCCCAATCTCTCTCTCACACACACATCACCACAGAGCCAACTACCACAGTTTTTCACACAAAAAAAGTAGCACACGCTATGACACCTGTGTCAGCATGGTGTGTAAACTCCTTCATCGCTGCCTACTAAAATATACAAGAGTCTTGAGTCATCCTTTACATCTTTATAATTTCCAAGGAGTCAGTCTTTCTCGTCATCTTTGTGTGCATGTGTTCAGCCAAACTTGCTTCAGGCTGTCTGGAGTTCTTTTATATTTTCATTCTTGGCTGCTTTTTTCACTCATTTACCTAATCATTATCAGAGTATTTTTTGTTGTTTGTTCATTATATAACTATAAAAGCCTCCAAAATCTAGCTTCAGAGAATTTCAGGCCTAAAGATACCTTAAATGTAAGGTCCTGATCTGTCAAACATGGTTATAATTCTTTAACTGAATCAGTACCAAAATAATAAAAATAAAAAGTTTGAAGATAGGAAATTAGATTTTATCGCCAATTAGGTGATTTCACAATAGAATTAGATAAAACTTGTCATGCAGGAGATCAATGAAGGATGATTAATCTCTCGCCCCAAAGTTTTAGTATTGAAAAATGGTCGAAATGTTTGTAGAAAAATGTGTTTAAAAGATTTTTTTTTAGCATGTTGTTATATGTGTTCTTAGCTGTAGGCAGGAAGGATCTTCTGGAGAATCTCTTGCAACAATTTGTTGTTTTTTTAAAACCCTTCAGGAGAGGATGCTGACTGTCGTCCATAACGTTCTTCATTTTATGAAGGATTTTTCTTTGTGAAATCATCTCCAGAGTTTCTGGAGTCCGTAGAACAGAGCCGTCTATCTTTTTCAGCGTGCAGAGCTTCTTTAAGGCATTTATTCTGATGCTGTTACCCCAGCAGAGGATGAAGAAAAGATGAGACTCTCCACAACAGACTGTTGTCAGATATGCAGCATCTCATCTAGTTATGCACACTGAACGATCTAAGCTTCCTGAGGAAGTATAGTTTGCTTTGTCCCTTCTTGTAAACAGCTTCACAGTTGCATCTCTGATTAATTCATGTTGGACCTCCAATGTCTTTATTTTGATTTCATTTGAATGGAGCAATGCCCTTAAAAAAACATTTTTTAATGTATTTATCTATACTTTTTAAAATAAAGAAACAGTTTGTGCAGAGTTTATTTCTGTTTCTTCAAAATATAGAAATTCTTACCCACAAAAAAAATATTTTTTTTGTTCCAAACCATTGTTTGTTCTAATTAGTACTTGTTCTAATGCTTTATGTAAAAACTGTGAAAAATCTGCCAAATGATGAACTACAGAAAGTCTGGAAAAGTGAAGATCAAGATTGCTGCCAAGGGCTAGATGATAAACTTTTACACAATACTGAAACCCCAGTTAATGCAGGAAGCGCAAACTGTATTTTACCTTTCCTGATATACTAAAATATAAAATAATGAATGGGCACAAAAGCTCCTAAAGCTTTGTTAGGAATTTATAATATTTCCACCACCAGGTTTTCATTTTTTTTTCTGCTCTTTTACAAAGAGAATGAAAAGTTGAAGGGCTTCTCAGACTTTAGAAGAGCCTTTCTTTCTGAAAACTTTTTCTGCACCAAATAGCATGTTGTGTTTCACGCAAATTAATTACAGAGCCATCTGTGTGTGCATGTGGCTAAGTAACAGTAACACTTTCAGATGTTTAGCTTCTTCACTCCTCAGGGGAAATGGTAGCAAACATATAAAAATTCCACCTTGCCTCTTTGCAGGTATGCTCATACATTATGCAGCTTTTTGCTGAGATATACAACCGCTTATTCACCACACAGTGACACACATAAGTTTGCTACTGGAAATGCCTCTTCTTACACACATTTGCTACTGGGTTTACATTGAATAAACAGGTTCACTACTCTGCCACACACATACTTTCTTGCACATCTACTATAGGCTTGGTGGCCTTTGGATCATTATGTGATCCCCCATGTTGAGACAAACAGCTGTGACAGCTAATGTGTGTGAGTGTGTGCACGTATATGACTCCCCCCCCCCACCCCACCCACCTACATGGTATTTATTAGTTTTGGACAGCTGAGGTGCTCAGCAAGGTCTCTATTTAGCACCACCAGATAATTATCATACACACATCCAAAGGCTGCGCTGAATGTGCTCAATCACTCTCATCACGCATGTGATTTAGACTCTTGGTAACTTTCATACCAAATCTCCCCCTTGGTGACTTGTTAGGCTCAAAACGGTCCCTGCTGTCCTTTTAACACTTGTGCAGTGACATCAGGGCCTGGAAACCTGTTGCAGTGAAACTATAGAGCGTTGATCTGCAGTAGACAGGAGCTGAACCCTTGTCACAAAGAAGTGTATTATGTTTTCACATCTATGATAAGATTGCAGGCTAAAAAATTCATCTTCTGATGTGATACAATTAAAGATTTTATTTTAAATTCCTTCTTTTTTTTCCTCTTTCCTTTTTTGTTCTTATTTAGCTATAAATTACTTTTTTTAAAGTTACACTCTGCTGCTATTAGTGGCTGCACTGATGTGGTTGGATGTAATGAGCAGGTCTTTGTTCCAGAGGTCCCTTGGCTGGAATTACCTTACACATACGCTCCTGCTGAAAGATGGCCTCTCAATATTAGTCGCACACAAAAGCCTGTGTTGTTCCACTCTCCTTTTACCCCTTTTCCATTGCGAGCATCTTCTGGTTTTTTGTCCTTCAAAGGTTTAATGCTAAACCCAGTTTTTCCTTTTCTGTCTGCAATTTTTGGCTTTCATAAAAAATGTGTGAAACTTTTGAAGCTTAAGTCTGTGTTCGAAAAAGAGACACACATTAGAGCGCAATGTTTACAGGGATTAGTATATTTCTTTAACAAACTGGTAAATAATAAGATTTCTTCTGTTTAAAAGGAAAATATATATTTAAATTAAAAAATAATTTTTTTTGATGTGTTATAGGATTTATTTGTTATGTCTATTCTATTCTTTGTTGTTCTGTGATGCTATGTGTGAGAGAAAACTGCTACTGTAAAGCAGCATAACATTTAAATTAGTCCTTCTTTAACTTTTCATAGTTTATTTTAGTATTTTGTACTGATAACATCAGAAATGAGGGATTTTTCAAAAATCCAATCTTTAAAAAGATAAAACAGGGTCCTAGCGCCTGCCTGTTATTTGCTGAAAGTCTGACTCTCGCTGACTCATTCACTCTGAAGGAACAGCTTACACAGACATTTGTCGTCGGTTTTTCTTATTGTGCTTCATTTGACTGATTAAAAATCTTGCCAACACTGAAACTAGAGAATGTTGTTGCTTCTTCCTTTAGTAACAGCGACTACACTGAAGAGTTGTATCAGCAAGCCCAGGTGGTTCTTTCAGTAGTGTCTTTAGTGTAAGGGAAAAAAGTGGATACTTACATTTTCCATTGCATTATTCAGGCTAATCCCACTAAAAAGCAGTGATTAAGGTGATCAGCCAATCATTAGCTTGCTATAACTCTTCATCCATATAAATAAATGATTCACCTTCCGTTTCTGAGAGGCTATTTATTCAGAAAATGTCTGTTTATCAAAATAGACATCAAAAGACATCAGATTCAGTTGATTTTCTTGTCAAACATCTACAGATTAAGTCTTTTTGCTCCGATTTGGCTTGTTATTCAAAATACTCCTGAAACATTTTCCTCATAACCTTTTCTTTGTGACTTACACATGACTGATGGATTTAGTGTTTTAAACTAACTGTTTAAAATAAGCATGACTCAAGCTTTACACAGTTTATTTTCTCCTTAAACTGTTTTTCTTGGTTTGGTTTAGTCTGTTATTAACATCCTACGTTTGTATTTTTTTTCATGGACCACAATTGTGTGTATCTGGCCTGTTCTTTCTGGTGGAGTTTGGTTTTGTTCGCTTGGGTTGGGTTTGTTTATGTTTCCTCTGCTTAGCCTAACCTTGTCCTTGTCTCTGTGATGCAGGTCCAGGCTGTAAGGGGAGCAGAAGGTCTCTGAGCTCCAATGCCAGTGGACATGCAGCCACATCAGGGGCTGTATTACTATGAGACCTCACCCAGCCAGCCCTCAAGAGGGTAAGACAGCAGAACAATCTTCTTCATGCTCACAGTTTTTCAGCAGCTGCAGCAGGAAATCTTGCAAGACCTGTCTCATTTTTGTTTTCATGAACAAAATCAGGTTGATACTTTGACGTTTTTGAACATATTCTATATACCTGGTTCAGTTATCAGTGCATACTAAAGCAATGTGAAGATTACAGATGTGGTTATCTGATATGGAGTAAAGACAGTTTCCACATAAGTAAGCCTTGTCCAATTGTTTGTCAGAACAAATAGCCATTGCATGGTAACACCTCAACATGGCGTTAAGTTGCGTAGATGCATCAAGGAAGCTAAACAGTGGAGAAAATGTTAAAGGCCTTTTTTGGGGAAAAAAAGGATGCAATTAACTGTTAGGCTGGTTTGAAACTGATTATCATCTGAGATTTTAATCCATAGCCATCCCTCACGTAAACAAGAAGGCGTATGAAAAATAGAAACAACCTAGATTTGAAAAATAATAAGTCACAATTTCAGAACTTAGTGTAAACAACATGGATCCATTCTGCTTTTGTCCAGCAGTTCAGCCTGGTGTTGGTTGTTTGACGCTATGGACCATTATTTCTGGGCATCCTTTAAATGCCACAGCCCACCTAAGCTGTGTTGCACACCACATTTATCCCTTCATATCCACTGTGGACCTTTATTTTCTGATGGCTACTTCTAGCACTAAAATGGACCATATCACAAAGCTCAAGTCCTCATGCTGGTTTGTGGAACATGCCGTGAGTTCACCATAGCCCAGTAGCTATGTGTGTGTTTCCTTCTTTTTCAGTTTTCTAAAGATTCTTTTAATGTTTTTATTTGCTTTATTTAGTGATTTAAATATTGATCAGGTGTTGCAGTGAGGCTCTAGCAACTGGCTCAACAAATATTGCATTCAAGCACTTCTTGAGATTTCTAATGTTGACACTGTGATGAAGGCAGTGATTTATCTATTGTTTAGCTTTGATCATAATTTTCTTTGTGGAGACACAATTATGCTGGCATCATCAGAAACATCTGTGGGAATTGTAATATTAAGCTGCACTCATAGCTGGTTGTTAAAAAGGTTGGTTAAATAGTTTTATTTTTTCAGTTCTAAGGGGCCTTTTGGAAAATAAACCCTCTCTGGCTATGTATTCTGAACGTCTGGCTATTTATGTAGTTGACCAGAACTCTCAACCCCTTATTCCAGGTTTTCTATAAGGCAGATAAAACCCGTGTGGTCTTAAAAGCTATATTTTGTTTAGTGCATCCATCTTTGCATATTAGCTTATTAATATACTTAAATTTGTGCCTCCTTGTTTTGGCTTAATTGTCAATACATCACATAGGCATCAGTTCTTAATATTACCAGTGAATGGGCAGTTTTTTTATTCAGGCTTTAACAATTGGCATATACCGGTACTAGCTTTGATTTCCATCATCCATTCTAGTTATGAGTACACATCTTTGAACCAAAAGTGATGAACTGATATCAATTCGACTTATGAAAACCTAAGGAGCGGATTAGTAAAAATAATAAAACAATGTATTCGATTTAATCACCTTTATTGACTAATTGCCCGGCCCTAGGTGAATATAGTTTTTTCCCAGACAGATCCCCGTCTGTCAGCTGAATCATCTTTAAGATTTACCGTCTCTTTTGTGAAATCCATTATGCAACTGATAGAGTATAAAAAGTTCTGTCTTCTGTTTAGAACATCTGCCGCTGACAATTCAAGGCAACCACATAACATTGGTCAAAGTAAAAAAAATGTCAGTGCTGAAATCAAGGCAGTTTGTCGTCCAAATAAACTCTGCTTAGTAAAGGTATTTTAGCACCTTTACATTTATGATTTTGTTCCAGTCATTTGATGGAGGATGTAGGCTTTTAAAAGATATTTTTCCAACCTTCCTTACAACAGTCCTCTTTGAGCTCAAATATCTTTGTGTTTCAATGAAATATTTTGAGGACGCAGAAGGAAGATGTGCAGTTGGTTCAGTTGTTGTGGACGCAGTGCTAGCTCAGCCACACAGTTCCTCCTCTCCTATCCACCCTCGCTCCCTCCCTTGCTCATGCCACCCAGGTTGCGGGTGGACTCGGCCTCTCTGACAGCTGCTAATTACAGGCTGACCAGGCCCCGCTGCGCTCTGCATGACTGCCTCGCGCCCCACTCAGGTTACCCAGAGAGAGGGAGAATTAGGGAGAGTTGGAGAGAAAGGTGGCTGGACAGGACAGAGGGAGAGAAACAGAGAGAGGGAGTCAGAGGAAGAGAAGATAGAACAAGACAGAAAGGATTGAAGGGGAGAGAGAGAGGGAAACTAAAAAAGTACAACTGAAGGGATGAATGGTGAAATTGAAAAGAAGGAAAAAGGGAGAATAGGGGGGTGCTCAGTGGATTAGAAAGGACAGATTAAGCTCTTGTGTGGAATACACGTTGGGAAAGAATTAGTGAGCTGAAAGGAGTAAGTGAGGATCCGGAGGAGTAAACGAGATGGAGAGATGGAAGAAAAAGGCCAGAGACAGATTTTGAGCATCACAGCATCCATTGAAATTTATGGAAAAGCTCAAAAGTTCTAAGGGCTTACCTTTTCTTCTTCTCTGGGGGAAAACCCAGATTCAAAAATTCCATAGTTTAGACCAAAATGAGAGAGATGCAACATCTAGTGGTAGGTTGAAAGCATTACAGCACGTATGAAGAAAGCATCATTAATAGGGCTCTTAGAGTCCAACTATTACAGAAGAAGTGATGTACTAATTATTCAGCAGGTGATTTACCCTCCATCTGTTTCAGTCATGTTTTTACCAGAAGCAAGGCCAAGTTAAGAAAAATAAGTTGACATCTGCTTCTTTTAGACCCTGAAATACTTCAACTAACATCATATCCTATCATACTGTTGGGTTTAAAAGTTTGCATACCCTCCCATTAAAATAACACAAAACCGAAAAAAATGTACATATATACACCTTCCCGGGTCTGCTGCAGTACTTAGTTCTTCTAAGGATAAATACACAAATTTGTTTTTTAGAGTCCGAGTTTGTTACTGTCTTTATGTGCCTCTGAAGGTTCAGCAATGAGTCCATCACTACACCCAGATTTTAAGCCTTGTGTTGTCTAGTTTCTAGTTATAATGACTCTGATTTATTAAGTTTAAAATTTTCTTTCTTTTGTCCAAAAAATATTAGTCCATTTTTTTATTTTTTTTTCAGCTGAGGAATATTTTGATACATCAATTCACTGATTTCTTGCATGCATTACCCAGCGCTTGGGTTCATAGTCACCTGTTGATGTCATAATGTAGAGTTGTTTATGTCTGCATAGTTATAGAAGGTGTAACGGATTAATCAACATATCTAAAGAGAAAAAGCAAAATACTGGTGTGTATCTCAATTATTAACAAAATAGTTTGTCTTTTTTCAGTAACTAGAAGTGAAACTCATGTATGATGTTAGTTCATTACACATAGAGTGCTTTATTCAAAGTGTTTTTTATTTATGTTGATGAATTTGATCAGTGTGTGACTCACCTGAGAGCCGTACAGGAAGCCTTGGATATTTTATTAGTAGCCTTCATCTTATCTTCTTGTTGGGTCTAGTGTCTGTAATATTCCTTATAACAGAGTTCCTTGAAGGTTGAGGTCAGGAGGTTCTGGTCAGTCAGCAAAGTAATACTATGGAAATGACCTCTTAAGCTCCCTCTAACTATAAATAACTATATGTTCTGCTTCATAATGTTCTTAAGGCTGTGGTCTGATCCCTGATGCTTGTGCACTTCACATTTGTTTCTCCTTCCTTTTTTCCACCTACCATTATTGCACTTGGATACAGCAGAGATGGAGTCCTTTTTAATAATGATGTAGGACATAGCATAGTGATAACCTATGCTTTTATCAAGCTGTCAGTTTTTGAAACATGTCTCTCTGTGTTGGTAATATATATGAGCTTCCCTTTTTAACGAAATTTACTTAAATAAATGTCTTTTTCTAAGTTAGATGCACCTATAAGGTCTTTTTTGCCACATTTTGGCAATTTTTGAATTAATGTTTGCAGAGATGAGTTTTATTAGTTTTACAGTCCTTAGTTAAAGAGTTGTAAACCTCCACATTTTGATTTGGCAGATATTTTTTTACTCCAACATTTATTTGAAGCAGGCTCTCATAATTCCAGCGTCTCTGTTATTTGCAGACTCGTCCCGTCGGACCAGTCTCCCTACAGCGACGTGTCTCCACTCCGAGCCCCTCTCCTCGATGGCTCTCCTCAGGACTGCCACTCCATGTACAATCCCATGTCTACCAGCATGACTCATGGATCAGGTCCAGTTCAGGGAAACAGCCACTGCTTGGATCAATACATGAGGCCCCCACAGGCCCCCCCACCGCACAGTATGATGGGCCACAGGGGCATGCCTCCCACAGAGGGTGAGTCACAGTATCTTTTTCATCCTCTTAACCTCACAGCTGCTATTGATTAGGACTTAAGGATACCTGAGAGACTGAAACTGAAACTTCACAGAAGGAATGATGAGAAGTTAGCAGTTGGCCAACTTTATTATATGCACGGACTTCAAATGCCTTGTTCATTTAAAGGCATAATATTGAAGGCTATTTATAAAGCTGTTTATATACTCCTACAGAGTATTTGTAATTAACGTCTTTTAATAATTTTTTAATTATGAATCATTTTCCAATAAGTTTCTGTAGGTTAAGCTGAGAATGTTTCAACATGAATCCATTACGTCCTCTGGGGGATAAATATGGTGTGGCACACAGGCTTGTTTCTTTTCCTCACTCCTAAAAATTTGAAAATGTTCCATTCAAGTACCGTAATTAATTTATTTATCTGTTTATTTGTCAGGGATAGTAGAATGAACATTTCTGTAAATGTGTCAGTATTAGCTATGAAGCTAGTGTTTAACTGTTGTCCCTGAGCAAGGTGTACAATGCCAACAACAATTAAATAAAAATATATAAAACTTAGAAATGTAAAAAAAAAAATTGAGGCTACCTACTTACAAGGGACGGTCATATGGTTCAAACAGAGACATTAGCATACATATGTAGAGATATTTACAAAGTAACACCCGATCCTGACATTTGGCTGAGTCATGCACCAGGAGATGGATAAGGTCTATTAAGCAATTTGTTGATTTGATTTGAACCTGCTTTTCAACTGAGTCCTCATTGTGTTAAAAGTGGAGCATTCTCTGATAGTGGGAGGGACGCTGCTCCAGATGTTGCAACCCCTGACTGAAAGAACAATCTAGCCAAAGGTGGTCCACCGTCTGATGGGCACTGATGCACAGGATAGAAACTGGCCAATACGGAATAGCTGCTTGCTTTTCTATTCCTTCTCCATATTTACAGTCAAAGCAGTAAGAATGGGGAATGTGACAAAGGCAGTAGGAGGAAACACAACCATAACATTTTACTATTGGATAAAAGCTTCAGATTTGACATCTTTCAATCAAATCCTTCTTTTAAGGCTTTCTAAGTTCTACTTATTGTTGTTGTCTGTGTACTTTGATTTTACAATAACACAGTGAGATAGACTTAAATGCACTTTTATGTTGAGCTTTTGAAATTATGTAGATATAGTAATAAATAAAAAAAAAACCTATGCAATTTTTGATTGCAAGTGTTTTTTTTTTAAATGAACACAAGCCATACAGTGTAGCATTTATAAAAGCATATAGTATAAATGACCTGTGAATTTCATTTAAACTCTAAATTCTGATGCATTGTTTGAGGCTTACTTTAAACATTTAAATTGTTCTCATTTTGTGATGTTTTTCTTCCAAGACTTAACAACACTAACTACAAATATACAAAATTATGAGTTAAAAGTTTGGAATCTACATTTATGGCTGCAAAATTAGTTAACATTCATGTTGATTGTAACCAGAACAGCATTTTTTCAGTTTAATCATTTAAGGTTATTTTATTTTTAACTTTATATAACTTGACTTCTAACTGAGTTGTAAATAAATTAATAATTAGTTTTTGTTTCTATTGTTTAATTAATCAGTTATGTTTCTTTGAAATAGTTTGTTTGAGAATATCTGACTTTTTTTCTCCATAATCCTACAGGCAGCATCAGCACCCCCTACTGTAACCAGAATAACATGATGTCATCGCATCCAAACTTCTGCCAAGTTCAGCCCAGCTCTGAGCAGATCGGCTCGGGTGATGGTGGGAAAAGTCGCTTTTTAAGAAACCAAAATCCTTTCACAAACATCTTATTTAAATGGAAAAATATATATATTTTTTTTCTTATTCTTTCAACTCAACCTTTGTTCCCTTCAGGCTCACGGTTCTCCACTCCTCGCTCCATGTTGAAGTTGAGTAAAAAGAGAGCTCTGTCCATCTCACCTCTATCTGATGCCAGTTTGGACCTGCAGACAGTCATTCGGACTTCGCCCAACTCACTGGTGGCCTTCGTTAACTCTCGCTGTAACCCCAACGGAGCTAGCTCCTATGGTCATTTGTCAGTCAGCGCCATGAGGTATAAGTCAACAATGATCCGAGTCAAACCTTCTTCTATGAGAACCACAAAAATCTGCTCACTTACATGTATTTCAAGATCACTTAGGGAAAAAAATATTATTTATATTCTGAGCAATAAATCTAAAAACAAAAGGAAAATATTCAACAAGAAAAAGCTGCAAAACTCTGATCTTATAAATTCCCACACTTAGATTACACCAGTGCTATCACCAAAGCTTGAGTTTTTCCAAGACTGATGAAGTGACGGGACAGAAGGTGGTAACAGATGCTGTCATGATACAACAATGAAAATGCTGCAGGAATTTCTGCCAAGTATTGGTTGTATTCAACATACAAAACAAACCTTTGTTATTGTTTTATATCTGGACTAAGAAATATGGTTGTGAAATTGAAAAATCTTTTCTTCCAAAAAAAGCAACCAGAGCAGTTTTAAGCACCAAAACAGGGTTTTATATTCTAATAAAACGATTTTCAGGTAAAACTTAAAGGAAAAAAAGCACAAAATACTGTACTAACAATGAAACATAGTGATGGCAGCATCGTGCTCTAAGTCTTAGCTACGTTCTTTGATTTGGAAGTTGTGCTTTAGTTGAGTGAACAGAACCATCGACAGCTCCAAATTTCAGGGGTTTTTTCATGTCAGTTACAGATTATATAAAATCTCTTCATTTTAATAAGAGCATCAATATGCATCTTCAATATTTTTTTCTTTATTTTTACTTGGTTTAATCCTGTGCTTATATTGTTAGATTCACAAATGTTGCTAGTTGACGAATAAGAAACAGGTCTGCTCATGTACTTTAAATACAGGTTGCCCAAGTTCAGTCCTCCAGAACTACCTTCCTCTAAGCTTAAGATGCTTCTCTTTTCCAACACCTCTGAACTAAGCAGCTGATTTCAGTTTCAATGTGTCATTCAGCTCAGCAGGGGCCTAGAAATTAGCCTCTCACTTGATTCAGGTGTGTTGTTGAAGAGACGCATCTAAAAGTTTCAGGATGGCTGCTCTTAAGAACTGGACTTGATCCCTGCTGGCTTAACTGTTCACTATTCTCTGATTTTGATTCTCCTTGAGTTATTATGAGTTCTCCTTTTGCTCCACAGTCCATCTCTGAGTTATTCCAGCAACGTGAACTGCCACTCCAGACAGGGATCCATCTACGGGGGAAACGGGGGAACACCTCTGGGTGTTCACACACCAGGTCCCTGCCAGGCTTCTCGTTTACCTCCCCACAATCCAAGACTCCTCGCCCCGCCGAAGCATGGACATGTAAGATGGCTTTCAAATTAACACCACAAAGCATTAGTGTGGCTCCTGCCTCTTAATGCAATGAGAAAAAAAGATTGCATTGGTGTGCAGGAGGCTGACGTTGATAAATAGATTTTTTTTAAAGTGTGTTTTGCTTTTTTTTTTTAGCAGTTGAAAACAGAGCCAGGTCTGATAGGCGTGATGGACGGCATAAATGTGAAGAACTTGGAGGAAAGGTCGGAGGGAGATGTAGCCAGTCCTTCTTCCACCGGCACTCAGGTAAAGTCCCATTCAGTAGTCACATTTACATCAAGATGCTGCAAAATACGAATGTCTGTCGGTCATAACAGCAGAAGAATGATTCACTCAAGCTAAATGAAACTGCAAATATTCTTTAGCAGGATCATCTGATCGGCCTATTGGATGGCAGAGACGACTTGGACAAGGAGGACGGGAAGCCAGAGCCAGAGGCCATCTATGAGACCAACTGTCGCTGGGAGAGCTGCAACAAGGAGTTTGACACTCAAGACCAGCTTGTTCATGTGAGACATTTTATGCTATCAGTCAGATGGAAAATAAAAGTATATAAAATGACTGCAGATGTGTCCCAAAAATGTGTCTGAAATTTTGTTTTGTTGATAATTGAGAGTTCACAATAAATTCATTTTATTCTTTTCCCCCCCTAATCAGTTTTAATTATAGGTTTTTGTAAAAAGCAGACATTTTAATGTATTTTATGTAACAACCCAGTGCAAAGTGGTTATAGCTGTATAACTGTAAGTGGAAGCACATGATCCATGGGTTTCAGAATGTTTAAAAGAAAAAAATCTCGTAAATTGTGGTGTTCATTTGTATTCACTCCCATAAGGTAGATAGTTTATGATCGATATATTGGTGCATTTAGAGCTTTAGGTCTTTTGGAGTTTGTGTCCAACAGTTGTGTACATATTGAAACTGATATGATTTTCTTCTGACAGAATAGTGAAGTTATTTTAGATGGATAATGGGAAATGTGAGATGTATGACAGTAAGTTTAAGGTTTTTCCTCATGCATTGTTTTTCATTTCCCTCCATCTATGATTAAAACAGTTCCTGGTGTTGGAATCAGTTTTCTGCTAAGAATTGTTTTTCCTGTTTGTTATATATAATTATAATGAATATATATATAACAATTCTTAGGTAAGAAATTATGTTACATATATTATTTTAAAAAAACTGTTGAGGGTGAGGTAAATCCAATAAGAGCAGCAGGTTTTTTTCCCACCTGTTTACTATGAATTCATGTTTTTTGTACTCATCTGAACAAAGCACCTTTTTCCAAATGCATGCGAAGTCGACTCTAAGTATTGTAACAAAATCCAAGCCACTTATTGAGGCTAATGCCATCGCTTGTAAACATAATAATAATATTAAATTTGATGATAAATTGTTCAGGAAAACATGAAAAGATGACAAAAATCAAGAAATGTAAGATAAAATGCTCTTGAAGTCATAGAAAATAAATCAGAATGTTTGCTATTAGAAAATGTAAGAAGCTCTTTTGGAGATTCATCCATAACTCTCATTATATTAATTTTGCTTTTTTTTTTTTTTTTTTTATTCCTTTAGCACATCAATAATGAGCACATCCATGGAGAGAAAAAAGAGTTTGTCTGTCACTGGCAGGAGTGCTCTCGAGAGCAGAGGCCTTTCAAAGCCCAGTACATGCTTGTGGTTCACATGCGCAGACACACAGGAGAGAAGCCACACAAGTGCACTGTAAGTGAATTTGAGCTCTCTGAAATATCTTTGCTCTATATTTCTGTTCTGAGTTATGAATAAATTCCCTTTCATGAAGTTCATACCGTAATAAAAAAAAATTTCAATATAGTTCTTTAGAAGGGATCCATTTTCCTTTCACCACTAGGTGGCATGTTAGGTTAACTTGACCTCTTTTCATTTTCCAAATTAGATTGTAAAGAAAGCTATTAGGTGTTATGATTTGCAACAGGATATGAATGGAACACAGTAATATGAGGAAGGAAGTGTTTTAACCAAAGGAGTGTTTTGAACCTTTTGACCTTGATATGAAATGTTGTGGGGTAGAATATTAATGTTGGGCAGGACCATGAACACATCATTACCGCTGTGAAACATTGATGGCGGCAATATCATTGTACAGACAGGCTTTTTTTTTGTATTTTAGCAAGGTTTTGCTCAGATAAGGTTTGCCAAAAGAACTGTATTTACTAAAATATTAAGAAAAAGCCTTAGTTAGATTAAAAAAAGGTATTTGAAAAATGCTCTTTATATGGATTTTTTTTTGTTAGTTTAGTCTGCTACCTGTCTGCAGTGAGTGAACAGAAATGATTGTTTGTTTTTTTTCTCTTATAGTTTGAAGGCTGTAATAAGGCCTACTCTCGCCTGGAGAATTTGAAGACCCACTTACGCTCTCACACAGGGGAGAAACCATATGTATGTGAGCACGAGGGCTGCAATAAAGCCTTTTCCAACGCTTCAGACCGGGCAAAGCACCAGAACCGAACTCATTCCAATGAGGTACTGAGACCCAAACTATGGAAAAGTTATGAGACCTAATTAATTTGCCTGCATTAATAAAATAGTTCCATTAGGAACCCCAACCCTTTAGGAACATGTTCTACTTTTTAAATCTATTTTTTTAGGTACTTTGCTGAGAATTTATTTGGGTGTCTTTCAGAAACCTTATGTTTGTAAGATTCCTGGTTGCACTAAAAGATACACGGATCCAAGCTCATTGCGAAAGCATGTTAAGACGGTACATGGCCCAGAGGCCCACATTACTAAGAAGCATCGTGGAGACACAGGCCCTCGACCCCCTGGCTCAACTCTGACCTCTGGAGGCCAAACATCTGAGCTGTTGCATGAAAAAGAGGAAACATGCAGGGAAGACTGCAAACTGTTGGCGCCTGAGACTGCTCTGGTCAGTGAGATACATTACGAAAATTTACTTTAGCAAAGAAAGTCAATTTGGATTTAATTCTTTATTACCTTTTAGAAGATGAAATAAAACAGTTTGTGTTTTTATTTGTCTATCAGAAATCTCAGCCGAGTCCTGGGGCTCAGTCATCTTGTAGCAGCGAACGCTCTCCACTGGGGAGCACCAACAACAACGACAGCGGTGTTGAAATGAACCTGAATGCAGCGGGAAGCTTGGATGATCTTACAGCTTTAGAAGATGGAGGTGGAGGCGGGGGAGGAGGGGAGCCAGGAACAATGGGAATGTCAGCACAGGCTCTAAAGCGGCTGGAGAACCTGAAGATTGACAAGCTAAAACAAATTCGAAGGCCGACCCCTCCTGGACGTTGTGCAAACAACAAGCTTCCTGCCATTCCTGGTACGTATTTTAAAAAATTCAGAAATCTATAAAAACTTTAATGCATTTTATGAAAAAGTAAAACAAAACATTTTAAATAATTTTGAAGTGGAAGGAAAAAGATACATGGTTTAAAAAAGCTCTAAAACTGAAAGTTTTGCCTACACTCATATTTAAAACCATCCCCATAACATGTTAAGTTTAATAAAAAACAACCAATTAGTTTCAAACAATAAATGCCTAATTAATAGGACTTACTTGTATGTAATTTAATTTCAGTATAAACACAGCTGTTCTGTTGAGGCCTCATAGTTTTGTTTTTGGAGATCATTATGAATGGTTGAGTTGGGCAAATTGATCAATAATCAGAGACACAGCAAAAAGGCCTAGGTCCGCACAATGCATTTTTTAATGGAGGAGCAAGGATGGGTTCATTACGTAGGATCTCATTAAGGCTTTTCATAAGTGGGCATTGCAAACAGGTCGAAAAGACTCAAAAACATTTTTTTTAGAATAAAAATGCACCAAAACAAAAAAATCCACCTTAAGTCACCAACCCCACATTGAAACAGGGTTTTGGCATCAGTATGTAGAAGGAATACTGAATACTGTAAGTGAGTGAACACATTTGTAGAAATGTCCAGATCAGGTTCAAAACTATGCAAATAGTCATTAACACGTGTGCTCTTAAAGGTGTTAATATACAAAATCCCATACTGGGAAGATTAGGAACTGCAATAAAATGGTATGTATGTGGAAAAAGGGTTAGATAAAGAAAGTGAAGCAACAAGGATTATACCATCTACCAGCAGCCAGCAGGAAGAATCTGCAGTAGTGCTATTTTTGTACATCTAGGATGCAACCGTCTTTTACTACATAGGCTCTCCAGTTCTTTTCAATGAGGAGCATGACTGTGGTTGTTTACTAGGAACTTCTGCAGGTGACAGCCTGGGAAATTTAGGAATAATTTAGTGTCTTAAAGGGTTAACAAGAACAATGGGAGCACAGGTCTCTGGGGTGACCAGCCTTGTCAGACATACAGACCCAGTTTTCATCAGTTTTAATGTTAGTGCTACCAGCCAGTAGCTGCTGAGGACAACACAAGAAGTCTTGCACAGCTGTGCATCTTTTCCTAGCTTCAGACTGAAATTGCAGATATTTCCCTTGATGTCACACCACCAATTTGTGCTGCAGCTCTGGAGCTGATGCCATTAAGACCTGCAGCCTTTCTTAAGTTGATCTCTCACAGTTCAATCCTCACCTGGAGTGTTAAGTAAGGGGGAGGGTTGTGCTATGGAGCTGAAAGGTGTGGGATTCTGGGAACAAAAAGCACGCAGCTAGCACTAATTATTACATAATATCTCATTAACATAACAGATGATACATACATTTCCAGACACTATTGAAGATTAACCTTTCTTTCAGAGACATAGGTCAAAGTAACCTTTTCAGTTTAAGTTACATTTTCTTCCTTTGTTTTTCTTTAGGTTCAGGGGAGAATATGGGAATGTGTGCACCTTCTCCACTTAACCGACGAGTGATGGAGTTGTCCAACCATGAGATCGGTGTGGGAAACATAGCAAACTCCATGAATGACAGGAGAGGAAGTGGCACAAGCAGTCTAAGCTCAGCGTACACAGTCAGCCGTCGCTCCTCTATGGCATCCCCTTACCTATCCAGTAGACGCTCCAGCGACGTCTCACAAATGGGAGGGGCAGCAGGGGGCGGATGTCACCTCCTCAGTCCAGAACAAGCTGTGGGTGACCCTCTCTCACCCGAAACCTATCGCAGAGGAGCTCCATGTCCTGGAGGTGGAGGATTACCAGGTCTCCCCAACTTAACACCTGCTCAGCACTACAACCTAAAGGCCAAATATGCTGCAGCTACTGGTGGACCCCCACCCACTCCTTTACCTAATATGGAGCAGCCTGGAACAACAGTTAGAAGAGGAGGACCTTTGAGTGAGTACCAGGGGCAGCCCTTACCGCCTTTCCTGCAGCAAGGAGGTCCTCGGCGTCACAGTGCCAACACAGAATATGGGACTGGAGTTATCTACCCTCACCAAGCTCCAGGTAACAACACCAGGCGGGCTAGTGACCCGGTCCGATCAGTCGCAGACCCCCAAGCTCCACCTAAACGCTTTAACAGCCTCAATAACGTGGCAATGATGGGTCGCAGAAATGCACTACAACTTCGTAGCTCTGACAGCAGTCTTTCCCGCCACATGTACTCTCCTCGGCCACCTAGCATCACAGAAAACGTAATGATGGAAGCTATAGGTATGGAGCCCCATCTCAACACTGGCAATACCAGGGATCGTTCCATGATGATGACTTCTGCAGAGAGAAATTTGATGGGTTACCAGCAACAGAATCAGACAATGGTAGGTGGAGGTCCGCTTCCAAATCAGCTGTCCCCGAGCATTGACTCTCTGGCTTGCCCAGACCCCGGTTACATGCAAAGACAATACCAAGGACATGGAGAGGTCCTTCCCAGAGCTAGTGGGAATCCATTAGGACAAGTGAGACCTACACCACAAGATGGAATGTCAAATACACTTCTCCAACAGGCTGAGTATTGTATGAGCACCTGCCAGCTGAGTCCTTCAGGCCTGCATTACCGAGGCGTAGGTCAGGGCAGCGACAGTGGAGGTCCATGGAGTGACAACCAAATCCAATCTTCAAGCCATGCAAGTCAGAACCAGCAAACAGTGCAGTACTCAGATTCCAGTCTGCAGCCTCAACACACCCAAGCACACTTCAACAATCAGACAACTCTCTATAACAATCCCGATGGCACTCCTAAACCTTTCATCAAGCCCGAGCAGCAGTTTCACTCTGGTATGGGTGGTGGAGATGCCTGTCAGAGTGCTAAACTCCGACAGCAACAAAACCTCTTGCAGCAAACACAGGCTTACCCCCAACAGAGTAGCCAAGTCATCATGAGGAACTCTAGCCATCCCAGCTGTGACTTTCAAGGGCAGAACCCAAATTCATATGCCAGTGGAGGGGGCTTAAGTTTGGGCTGTGCTGGTTCAGCGCTTTCAGAGGGCCAAAGGTCAGAAACCCCAATGATGCAGGTCAAGGAGATAATGGTGAGAAATTATGTTCAATCCCAGCAAGCCCTCATGTGGGAGCAGCAACAAGAACAAGAGCAACAGAATGGTATGAAGCCACCTTCTCTCTCTGACAACATGGGCTTGAGTGCTCAAACAGCAATGATGCAGCGCAGTCCAGAGCACCAAAATCAGAACCCATATTCCAACCAGATGTATCCCTCTTATCCAGAACGTAATCTGGTCATGAGCCCTGCTGCCCAGAGCCGAGGATCAGCTTCTGGTACACCTAAAGATCCGCACCTGACAGGTTTCCAAGGTACATGCTATAATCAGGAAATGGTGGTACCCAGGCCTCCTCAGGGCCGTAAGCCTCTTAGCCGCCAGAATAGCCTGCCACAGGTAGGTGGAGGTTACCTTGGCAGCGCCCCCCACCTCAGTCCTGTCCACTCCACTTCCAGCCCAAGACGAGGGGTGCGACTTCCACCGGTCCAGCATTCCCAACACCCCCAAAATGAAATGTTTTCTCCCTCAAATAATAACAACAACAACATGTATTACACGGGTCAGATAAATCTGCAAATGGAGAAACAGCGGGACCTCCAGAACGGCCCTTGCCATAACCAGGCAAACAATATGGGGCCAAACATGGACCCAGTAGGTGACACAAAATCTGCCCCTATGGCCCCCTATCCGGAGTCTAGTCCTATCTCAAATGCATTAGAAAATCTGGACCTGGAGAATGCTCGCATTGACTTTACCTCCATCATCGATGAAGCTGATTCTTCCTCGTTTAGTCCAGTCAACAATCCCCTTCAGGGTAATCCAGGATCTTCCTCACAGGCTTCTTCCCGCCTCACCACCCCACAGACTTCAGTCAGCCTGGCTCCAGGAAATGGCCTGTCCAACATGGCTGTGGGTGACATGACCTCCATGCTAACCTCACTGGCTGGGGAAAATAAGTACCTGAACACTCTGTCTTAGAGAACTCTTGGGCAGCTCAGCGTGTACTAGCTAAAGACAAGCAATAAACACTGGCCTTGGCCCTGCATGTGTTTTAAAGATGAATTCTGTCACTTTGAGAGATTTAGAGTAAAGGTTTAGCCAGACCAGGACAACTTTAAAGTGGAGCACATCATAAGATGTTTCAAATATTAAAATGATATAAACTGCCTGTATCTTTAAAACCAGCTGTAGCTCACTAAAAGGAATAAAAAAAAATGAAATCACATATAAAAAAATATGCAAGTCACCATCAGAAACCTTAAACCAAAGGTGCCAGCTTGTTCTTCATTTATGATTTTTCCCATGCTGCCTTGGTACGGTTCTTCTGTGCCTTAGTGTAAGACAAGAACCTGTTTTTTGATCTGAACATATGATGCTGAACAGTTTTTTTATCAATCAAAAAGGGCTATGGCAACAGTGGAACCAGGAAGGATTTATGTAAATATGTTTTATATATATATATAAAAAAT